CAGTGCTTTTAACTCTCAGGCTTGCCCACACCAAGCCTCCAGCAGTTCATCAGTTACAGTTCAAGGGTTCTAACAGGAGTTGATTTTTCAGTTTGTTTAGTTTTAAACTTGCTGTTAGGGTGGGACTGCAACTTCTAAGCTACTTACACACAGGACTAGAAACCAGAAATCATTGTGACCCTGTTTAGGGAACTCAGACTTGAGAAGCCACCATCAGAATCATTATAAGGTGAACAGAGCTAAAGAGCCAGCAGGTGCAGCATTTCCAGGTGCTAATGGTAGAAATTTCATTCTCTTTTCTTGGAGAAGTCTCTTGGGCTTTCTTCATCCATGTGGAAACATAAGTGACTCACTGCTCAGATGTTTTAAGGTCTGAGAAACAGACACATAGGACTTCTTAAAAAAGCAGCATGCCTCATTATAGCAATCATATTGTTGTTAATTTTATCATTAGCTTGCTGGGTGTGGTGGCACACACCTGAAATCCCAGTGACTCAGGAGGCTAAGGCAGGAAGATTACAAGTTCTAGGCCTTGGGGAATGTTCTTGAAATATAAAATTTCAAGAACGATAAGTGACACCCAGTCAGAGATACTCACATGCAGACAACATGACTTGACTTATATATGGAAAAAATTTAAAGACTCTACTAAATAATTGTTAGAATAGGAAAATAAATTCAGTCAAGATGCAGGATACAAAATCAACATACCCCCCCCCCAAAAAAAGTAGCAGTTTTATACACAAATAGTTGAATTTGCTGAGAAAGAAATCCCATTCACCATAGGCCTGTCGACCCTGAGAAAAACCACTTAGAGATCACATCCACCACAATACTGCCTTAACTTCAGTGTTGTCACCTAGGAGCATTTTTACATCAGTGGACATTTGGCAACGTCTCGTAATATTTTGGGGTATTACAATTGGGAAGGGAGACCGGTATCTAGTGAGTAGAGGCCAGGAAAACTGTTACACACCCTACAAAGCACAGAACAGCTCCCCACATGAAGATTTATCCTATCAAAGTATCAATAGTGCTGAGGCTGAAAAACCCTGGATTAGACTTGGAAGTAGAGATGTTGAAAAGGCAGAGGGACTTCAAAGGAGAAGTCTAGACAGGAGATAAGTATTTGGTAATCACCAAAATAGATGGTGTTCGTAGCCTTAAGATTGGACAAGATCAGCATCCCAGGGGACAATGCAGATGGAGAAGAGGTCTGAAAGCCTGGGGGCACTCCCAGGTCAACAGTTTTTTTGGGGAAATAACAAAGACAGCAAAGGCCAAAAAGTCAAGATCAAGGAGATGTTAGAGGTTTGAAAAGACACAGGCCACCCAGGAAAGTGGGAAAGTTAACAAACTAAGGAAGTCCTTTCAGTGCCCAATGGAGGTGAAGGGTTTAAGATGATGCTAGGCATTTAGCCACAGAAATTCAGGTGTAATGTGTGCAATGAAATTTAACCAGGGTGCGGCTTTGCCAAATGAGGGAGAGAGGAATAGTCAGGGCCAAGGGAACTATAGTGCACTGTCAATTAAATATCATGGGAAGCAACTATGATGATTAATTAGGAAATTCAAGCTTTGTGAGGAAGAGAGAACATCAGGGTTTTCGGGGAAGTGAAAAGATAGGAAAATCAATGGGCTATACAGGGGGATGAAGAAATTGTTGGGGTTAGTATACTAGGTTAGCACCAGAGAACTGCCTTCATGTAACTGAGATTATGGAGAAGTGAAATTACAGCTCTTACAAAAAATCTAAGGGGCTTGGATTGTGGCTCAGTGGTAGAGTGCTTGCTTAGCATGTAGGAGGCACTGGGTATGATTCTCACATATAAATAAATAAAGGTCCATAAACAACTAATTAAATATTTTTTAAAAAATCTAAGAAGTAGCTGGGCACAGTGGTGCAAGCCTGTAATCCCAATGGTGTGGGAGACTTAGGCAGGAGGACCACTAATTCAAAGCCAGCCTCAGCAATAGCAAGGCACTATGCAACTCAGTGAGACCCTGTCTCTAAATAAAATACAAAATAGGGCTGGAGATGTGGCTCAAAAAGGAAATATATATATATATATATATAAGAAGTAAGCGGCAGAGGTGGAGGAGAGGTCAAGAAACCAAGTTGTTGGAAGATCCTCCACTTGTGTATTGAAATCATGACAGGTGTAGGGAAAGGTGTGTCCATGAGGTAAGGGAGCTAAAAATCATCAAAAAGCAAAGGGATTAGGTAACTCTGAGGCCAGTGGATAATTGTGACACCAAGAAAAAGGAAGCCACAAACTGTGTATATTCTCTACAATGAAAACATATTATTTCTCTGACATAAAAAAAGCTATTGTAAACATTGTGAGACCACCTCAAATCCTCTTTGGAAAGGGCCAGATATAGATAAGCATATGCATGCATACGCAAACACACACACACCCTCACATACTCACACTTAATAAGACTCCTCGAGGGCTGGGGCTATAGCTCAGTGGTAGAGCGCTTGCCTAGCACGTGTGAGGCACTGGGTTCCATCCTCAACACCACATAAAAATAAAGATATTGTGTCCAACTACAACTAAAAAAATATTTAACAAAAATAAATAAAAGTAAATAAATTAAATAAAGGTATTGTGTCCAACTACACCTAAAAAATAAATATTAAAAAAAAGACTTGATAGAGATTGTCCAGTTGAGTTACATACATACTTCAGAACAAAGGTACAAAAATAGTAAAAAAAACCCCACATCTTTCTTTTCATGTGTATTGGGGCAAGCAGGAAAGAACTCAGGGCCTGGAGCATGCTAGGCAAGCACTCTACCAGTCCTTTTTACAAAACAAAGTCTTGCTAAGTGACTCAGGCTGAACTTGTGATCTTCCTGCCCCAGACTCTCATAGAGAACTGGGATTATAGGCATGCACCACTGAGCCAGGAAAAACTTTCTTAGGAATAAAAATGTAGCCTTGATGAAGTATAAAGTGAATATTTCTATTAAAAAGGATAGAACATAAGAATGTTGTCCTGTCTTAGTAGCAACACTAATTTCTATAATATCTACCCCAAATCCAAATTATTCTGAATTCTGCTATTAAAACACCAGACTTTTTACTTTTATAGGTGGGTATACAAAGTTATATATAAATATCACTCCCTTTGTGAATATATTCTCAAATACCTTTGAAATAGAAAATTAGGAAAAACATTGGATATTTCTAGTTCTTGGAGCTTAATCTTTTGTGAGAGGTGGGGAGGAAAGACAAGAGAAAAAAAAAACAGAAGAAGTGTTTTCAGAAAGTTTGTTCATCCTTCTAGGTAAGCTGAATTTATTTGGTCTTATAAGTTTTACCTAATAACAAACTTCTCCGTTTTCTCCTTTCCACGATGGGCCTTTGAGCCAATGCTTAGAGACCCATAGGAGCAAGAAAAAAATGGAACAGAAAGGAGAGAAATGGTAGGAGAGAGAATAATAGGATGCCTTTGTGTTTGGAGTACTCAGAGCACGGTCACATGTGGCTTGGTTACCTGATAACAAGTCATAAAAGTCCAAAGATAACTTAGTGTTTATATTTATCCATTAAAGCAAATAGAATAAGATTTACCCAATGAACATTTATCATTCTGTTCTGTTTTACTGTTATAATTCATACAGCGGTAAGAAGGGTCTACACGTTGGACACATGTGCTCATCCTGCTGAAAATTCTAGTCCACTTGGCAATCGCACTTCCTTGTTTTTAAGTCAGACATTTGTTGCCGTGGACTTCTTAGATTATGATAATAATATTCTAATAAAGTGAAGATTGATACTATTAGTGTCTCCTTTCCAGTCAATGGACATTAGGGCACAGAGAACTGAGACAAGTGCCCAGAGTCCAAGTCACAGCTCTGTCACTGGAACAGGGCCTGCTGCTGCCACTTGGATGCCTTGAACAAGGTGAGATTCCCCACTGCAGGGGCCTCCTTGGGATTCTACCTGTCAAAACCTTGCCCCTCATTCAAGGTGGGGGACAGGTGGTAGATTGGAAAGAAGACTGAATCTGGGTTAAAAAGCCCTCAGTGAGTGGTCCTTACCTCTTATTTATCAAATTATGTGTCTTAGAACAAGTTACTAAGTCTCTATTTGCACAGCTTTGTTGCAAGTAGAGGAGATGATATCTGTTCAAGCTACTTCAGAAGATGAAGAAGCAACTAAGAGAATATGCATGGAAGGGTCAAGGTCCAGCTAAATCCTACTTAATCCAGGGAGCTTTCCAGCCTTTCAGTCCAGCCTACCTTGAGCTTTCCCTTGGCATTTCCTGCAGCATTATTCATCTCAGCACTTGATATATTTTGTCTTATATTGTTACTTAAATATTTCTAATTCAGGAACTTGTTCCCCCCAAGGTCATATTACAAGGCTGTAAGTAAAGCAGTGCTTATATTATCAATGCTATGAATGAACGGGTGGAGCTGAGTAGAATCTGACCTTTCTGTAACCACAGGCTCATTCCTACATGAAAAATATTTATCTATCTATCTATTTATTTATTTATTGGTGCCGGGATTGAACCCAGGACCTCATGCATGTTCTACCACTGAGCTACACCTCAGCCAAGAAAATATTTTAAAATCTTCTTGCAGTAGATAGTTCTATGCATGTTCTAATAGGAATACTCACCCAGATCCAGGGTTTTCTCTTTGAACGAAGAGGGTTCACCATATCAACTGCTTGAAGAAGCTAGAACATGGCTTAAACATAGATAAGATCCCAGAGGGGAACCCTGATAAGAGTGACCCCAGAGGGGAAAATTTCCCCCCAAAGTTCTATCCTTAGGTTTAGAATACCTCATGAGGAAAAAAATCTTTCTGGATTCATTTGCAAGCCAGGCAGTTCTGGCTGTCTCACTATAAGAAGTGAGACAACCTAGAGGTTTGCCATTTTTCCCTTGTGTGTGGAGCGGGGTACATAATACAGAATCTCTTCCTCTGGAGCTTTTAGTAGCTTTCCCACAAAACCCAATCTGCTAGTAGAACTTTACCTTATCTTTGTAAACTAGTGTGCTGGGGCTGGGCCGGGGCTTGTCTTTGAAGGAGTAACTGGCTGATTGCTTCTTTAACAGGTCCAGGAAGTCAGGAGGCATGTACAGAGGAAGATCATTTAAGACTGGATTGTTTCTTTGCACAAGAGGTGGCTTTTTCCTTCCTTCATTTTTAAAATTGTAGGTTGCTGCTACTGGATTTAATAGGGATTCTTCAATAAAAGTTTTCAAGTGATAAGTGCCAGGTATAGGAGTATTCTGTGGAAAATTGACAGCAGTTTTAAGATCACTGTAAACCTTTAACTTTCCCCAAAGCACCATTCCTAGAAGAGTCATTCCTAAGTAGCATTCTACTTTATTTTTAAATTTAATGAAGTTCTATCACATATAATACTCTTTTTTTTTTCTTTTCTTTTTTCTTTTTTTGGTGTTGGGACTGAACTCAGGGGCACTCAACCACTGAGCCACATCCTCAGGCCTATTTTGTATTTTATTTAGAGACAGGGTCTCACTGAGTTGCTTAGTGCCTTGCCATTGCTGAGGCTGCCTTTGAACTCACAATCCTCCTGTCTCAGTCTCCCAAGACATTGGGATTACAGGCGTGCGCCACTGTGCCGGTACATATAAAACTCTTGACAGAACAGTATTTCAAGAGAATCGTGATTATTTCTTTTCCGAAACAAATCCTGAATTAACACAAATGGGTAATAGTTAAAATTTAATTTTTTAAAAAGGTAATTTCAGGCATATACTTATATTTGCCAATTGAATTTTGAGTATATATTTCAGGCCTCTAGTGAGATTACTCTAGAGAGCTTCTTGGTCAACTAAAAGCTATCCTACTTTTATGTTTCAACTAGCCTCAGGTGAGAAGTTACCACATAATAACATGAGCCTGAGGATGAACTGGCAGAGCATATGGTCTACATAGTTCCAAAAGAAGTTTGGTACCTTCAAATCACAACCACAGTGTGGCTCAATGGCCAGATTGGAACTGCTGTTCTGCAGCCACTTTTTCCAATGAGCTGAGCCATTAAAATTAGATCAATTCCAAGAAGGCTTTGACCCATGGAGCTTCATTACAAATGATCTTCATTACAAGTGATCTTTTGGTCATTTTTCTTTCATATATTACCATCTTGTTCTTAAACATTTTGTATACACTGATCATGTTAAGTGTTATCATAGGTTCTGTACCATCTATGAGAAAATCTGAAGCCAAGTCGCCTTTCTGGAATAGATGCTTTTTCTTTCTTGTCCAGTGTCACCAAGATCAGAAGATCAAAAGTTCACTTTATTTAGATATTTTGTAAAGCACATGGATTCCTAGAGTTGTTTTACTTCATAAGTTTCCATTACATTCAAAATTTAAAGTGAATTTCTCATTTGTATGCTAATATTAAAATTATAAGCATGAAATGAGGCCCATGTAGACCTACATGATAACTGTTTTTTTTTTTTTTTACAATTAAGTGTTACTGATTTAAAGGGTAAGAATGATTAAAATTTTAAAGGGAACAAAAATAATTTGAAGAGGAAAGACCAAAAATATACACACTGTTAATGCTATTCTCCACCAGCTTTCTCTTTGAAAAGAGGAACTCTTCTGGCTTGGTTTCTATTAACAAATACAAAATATGCTTATTCATTTGAGAGGTAATTCCCCTGAAATTAAATTTATAAAACATTACTTGAAGAAATTAATACCTGCATCAAACTGTCATTAAAATAAAAGCTAGAGAATGATAAATTTTGCCCATGACATTTCCTTAAATTGCTCTTTTATGATTTTAAATGCTTTTAAATATCTAAATTCCTTTTGATAAAATTAGAGTAATAAATATTTTCAACTCACTGAGGTGCTGGAAGAATATTAGATGTAACAAAATTTGATGTTCTTCTGAGGAATAGGGTGGGGTTTGAACTGCGGCTCCCTCATGTAACAGCTAAGTACACTGGGCAAGTTACTCAATCCTCGCGTGCACTGCTTTCTCACTTTCTCACTTGAGTATAAAACTGAGATACTGCTGACATGGCATGAGAATATGGTATAGTACACATAAAGACTTGCACCTACAACCAGTGTTCAATAAATGATTGATAGCTTTCATTTTCAGAGGGTGGGTACTGGGGATTAAACTTGGGGCATTCAACCACTGAGCCACATCCCCAGCCCTATTTTGTGTTTTATTTAGAGACAGGTCTCACTGAGTTGCTTAGCACTTTGCTGTTACTGAGGCTGGCTTTGAACTTGATCTTCCTGCCTCAGCTTCCTGAGAAGCTGGGATTACAGGTGTGTGCCACTGCACCTGGATAGCTTTCAGTTTTAACACTTCCTCTGCCAAACTAGGAAGCAGGTTATTTTGGTATCCTCAATTTTCAAAAAAAGTGTCTTCCATAGTTAAGTGCTCTTATTGATTATTACTCCACATTTGTTTTAACCTCACTGCCCACAATTGTTTAGTTTTACTCTTTTGTATTATTTCTAGTAGGTAAAAATAGTTAAAATATTGAGTTGTACTCCCCACCCCCCAGTACTGGGGATTGAACTCTGGGGCTGTCTACTATATCCCCAGCACTTTAAAAATTTTTTTTATTTTGATAGGGGGTCTTGCTGAGTTGCAAGACCTGATCCTTCTGCCTTAGCCTCTGAGTACTTGGGATTATAGGCATGTGCCACCACATCCAGCTCATTTCATTTTATAATATATTTGTTATTACTATGAAATATGGGTTATCTCAAGCAAGAATGCATTAAAAATAATTTAATCAGGGGCTGGGGATGTGGCTCAAGTGGTAGCGGTGTTCTCCTGGCATGTATGAGGTACTGGGCTCAATCCTCAGCACCACATTAAAATAAAGATTTAAAAAAAAAAATAATGTAATCAGTAAAAAGAACCTGACATAATTCTTTTTGTCTTATAACTGAAATCCACTCTACTTATGAATATCACAGGGCTTTAGTTTTACTATGAAATATGTGCATTTCTCTAAAAACAAACAAAAGCAAAACAAACAAAAAACAGTTTCATACACAATATGAAGCCTGAACTTCTTTTTAAACATTCCTTTGTTAAATATGTGTGTTGAATCTCCTGTAGCACATTTAATAGTTACAGAAGGAAAACTTTCTCAGGAAGATCAAGGCAGGTCTCCCATCTCCACCCAAAAGCAGAGAAATGAAGTAGAAAGATTAGAGAGGTAAGCATGATAAATCCAAAGGAAGCTAACAGAAGCTGATGTTTTGTTTGGCCCCAGGCAGGTAATCTAAATTCCACCCATCTACTGTTTTAAATTCACGTCAAAGGGAAAAGATAAAACTCCCCTCACTCAAATTTATTTAAAAACTAAACAAAGGCAATTTCAAACATTTTTGTAGGTACTAAAGTAAGAGACAGGGGAAAAAGTGATGGACTAAGGAAGGAAATTTTTCCATTCTCTCAATCCCCAGCACCACCACAGGGACGGGCAAGGCAGGGAATCGAGTCTCTGAAAAGGGGAAGAAATCTAATCACTCTACTGATGTATTTTCCCAGAGCAATTAGTAATGGGCAATGAGGGAAATGTGGAAAACAAAGGATAAAGGGGAGAATAAGAGAGGCAGTAAGGGAAAAGGAAATACGAAGAAATAATGACAGGAAGAAAGGACTGCAGTGTAAGCGTGAAGGCAGGAAGAGAACCACAGGGAGAGGGAGCGCCTAGGGGCGCCAGAGCCTGCGAGTAGAGAGACTGGGAAAAGGACAGGGGTCCAGAGAGGGGTACGGTGGTGGGGCGGCCAGAGGAGTACCACCGTACCGGGGGCTTGACAAACACTATCGGTTCTCCGCGCCCGAGATCTTCTAATGCTGCGCTGGAGGCTTCGGTGACAACTGCTTGGTCCATTGAGGCCATTCCTCTCCCTAGGCGTCGGGTTGCTAGGAGGCGCCGAGCGGCTTCGGCTCCGGAGCGTGCGCAGAGCACCGCCAGGTTTGTCTCCAGTGGTGGGGGAAGGGATGCGGGCGCTCACAGCGAGGCGCCCAGCGAAGCCAGCGAAGCCAACGCAGAGGAAATCCCTCCAGACCATCATGCACTTGTGATAAGAAAATCTAGCCGGCTCTGGAGTCGCCAGAGTGTCCAGGGTGAGTATCTGCGTCAAAGGAGTGTTACCGGGAGGTAACTCCGCAGTCTCCAGCAGCCCCTTCCAGATCACTTGGGAGGCATACTTAGCGCTAAAGGAATACTTTGCTTGAGCATACACTGTGTGTATTCATCCAAGTCGACATTCTGGCGTCACTTCTCCTTTGAGAAGGGAGCACCAGACAGCAGGTTTCACCAGTTGTGAAACCACAGATCAATCCCTCCCTCTCCCTATAGACTCTTCATTTTGGGCCTCAATCTAGAATTCAACTAAATTCATTTTGGGTTTCTCAATCTAGAAAAATTCTTTTTACAAACCAACCATCCCTCAACCTTAATTTCATTTTACAGAGTACCTACCATGTTCCAGGGACTTCACATACATTAATCTCATTTAATCCTCAAAACCACCCTGCAACGGCTTTATGAAAGATGATTTTATGAAAAATCTTAAGTCCTAATCTGAGGCTTCCTTGGACAATTTACCATTTGACTCAGCATCACACAAAGTGGCAGAGCCATCCAAATACAGATTTGACTCCACTGCCCGTCATACCATGAAATTTCTGCTTCCCTAATGTGGACCTACTACCTGATCCTTTCCTTTTTTGGGTACTTTCCTAACTATTTTAATGTAACATACACACACACCTTTTAACTTAAAATTGAAATTGCTAAACCTGCCAGTGATCTGATAAATCCAGTGGGGATTTTCAGCTCTTATCTAAGGAAGCCTTAATTTGTCATTAATGCATCAATTACTCCCTCATTCTTGAATCCCTCTCCTCCCTTGACTACCAGGATTTGAACACTGACTTGCATTTGCTTCTGTGCTTCTTTCCTATCCTCTATAGAGGATAATAAAGTAATACCTGCTACATTGGCTACTGTTTGGAACCATGTCTGTGACACACTATTCACAAAGTGTGGACAAAAACAAAGTTTACAATCCAAGCTCTCACCTCTTTTCTCCCTCATTACAACTTCATGCTCTCTGTAAACCCCAAATGTGGGATCTTCACATCTACAGTCTCAATATATGCTAACCCTCCTGTATGAAATACTATTCCCTTCTTTGACACCTAGAAAACTCAAGAGTCAATTCCTAGATGTAACCTGCCATGTCCCAAAGGACTGTTTATCTTTATTGAAGGAATAATTGAAAAATCATTTGTCTTCTAACTTTAAAATTTGTAACATAGCATGCCTGTAATCCCAGTGGCTTGAGAGGTTGAAACAGAATCACAAGTTCAAAACCAGCCTCAGGGGCTGGGGTTGTGGCTCACCAGTAGTGCACTTGCCTAGCACATGCCAGGTCTTGGGTTCCATTCTCAGCACCATATAAAAATAAAGGTATTGGGTCCAACTACAACTAAAATATTAAAACAAAACAAAAACAACAACAAAAAAACCCCACAGCCTCAGTAAATTGCTAATTTATAACATGGTTTCTTTATTTTGAACCTTTGGAACACAGGAAAGTTAATATTTTGTTGAATAAAGTGCCAGTTTTCTCCTCTAAACAAAACTATAGATTACAGCTGTGCCTTTGAAACACTGATGTTCACATAAAACATCTGGCCGCAGTGTTAAAATGAAGACTGAGCCTAGTTCCAGAACAGGGACTCATATATATGTACTTTTTTGTTGTGCCCAGGTGTTTATACATGCTAGACAAGTACTCTACCATTAAGCTACATCACCAGCCCAGATTTTATATTTCTAGTAATTCTAACACAATTCTGTGAGCTTTTGAGAAGGCAATAGGACTTCAATTCTTTTAAAATACTGGAATCCTAAATTCACTTTTAAAAAAGAACCAGGCACTAGGTTTAAAATCAAATTAGGGCCAAGAAGGAAGTAAACAGGAGTACTTATAAATTTAATAGATTAATCAGGTTCATCCCTTTGCCTCATTTCATTTTCTTATTTTGGCTGAGTCTATAAAACTGGCTCAGCAGACGAGGGACTGGGACCCTAGAGACTAAAAGAATGAGAAGTCCAGAAATCCATACAAGGTGTGAAATTGAACAGAAGGAACATCTTGATGAGAAAATAGTTTTATGTATCTCAAAAATAGAAACAGGATGGGTCAATGATTTCAAGGACTTTATCCATAAACCAGATTAAGCATGTAGGATAAACAAAATGTTCTCTTTAAGAAAACAATGTCTTTGTATAGTTATCACTAAGCCTTATTTTCAGGGTAAGAGTTAAGGAGGAATTTCCTTTAAAAAAAAAAAAAACAAGACTGCAATATTAGAGCCCCGCATCATTTCTGCTGTCAGACTTAAAAAATTTTTTTTTACCCTTTCCTAGAAACTCCAAGGAAAACATATTATACCTGAGGATTAACTTCAACTCCAATAGCAAAGTTTTACTGGAAGAAACATCTGAGAGCCAAAATGCTATGGAGAATATTGTGGGAAATATTACCAACTATGCTAACACACAACAACATGGTTAAGATGTGAAAGTGATACATTATTTTTTATTTCTTAGTTGTAGTTGGACACAATATCTTTATTTTGTTGATTTATTTTTTGGGGGGTACTGAGGATCCAACCCAGGGCCTCGCACGTTAGGCCAGTGTTCTAACGCTCAGCCCCAGCCCAAGCCCGAAAATGACTTTTTAAAGTCATAGTTCTTGGTTCAGAAACAATTACATTGTTAGGAATCAGTTTACGAAACTATACCCATTTTAGGTAAGATAACTGAAACTTGAATAGACCTCTTCAGTGTTACACGGTGATAATCTGAACACTGCACTGCAATAAAATTCAAAAAGTCCAAAATACCCTAGAGAAAATTACCTCATTGGGAAACAGAAAAGCAAGCTTTTATTCCACTACCTTGTAAGATTTTTAACTAAAACTGTTACATCTAATACAGAAAACACTGGTATAGTAGACATCCCATCTTAATTCTTCCTATTTAATCTGTCAACTGCAATAAAGTAACATTCCCACTAGGATTATCAAGGCCTATAACTTCCCTTGACTTAAATAGATAGGCATGACTTGTCAAATCTGCCAATTCAAAACATTGAGGGCTACAATAAGCCGCTAACAACTATATATAATATTTTAGGCTTGTATTTGTAATTTTAAAAAAGTATTTAAAAGGTAGTTTAAAAAAAGATAACTAAGCAAACATTTAAAAATTCATTTTATGGTTCAAGTCAAAATGGACAAATGGATTGCAGTTTAAAAGTACAATTAAAAGGTATAAAACAGCAAGCATCAACTTTATGCTGATTCCCACGATACATATGCTTAAGATTTGTTAATGTTTCATTTAAACCTTTTTAAGATGTTTTATCCTAATTTATGAGGTACAATCTTGAGTGAAAAGCAAAAACATCTGAATTATAACAAGGACAAACCAATTCTGTATTTTATTCTTTAAATTAAACTTCACCAGTTAAATGACTCAGATTCAGAGCAACAGTTGGGTAAATTGTAATTTTTTTATTGGAAAACAAATATACAACTTGGAATGGATTTGAGGCAAATTGTGCCATAAGCAGATTTTCTTTAAGTGGCTAAACAAAGTTTAAAAAGCAAGTAACAATAAAAGAAAATGTTTCTGGTACAAGACCAGCAGTACAAAAAAATAGTGTACGAGTACCTGGATAATACACCCGTTTTGCAATAGTGCAACTTTTAAGTACATATTGTTGACTGTCCATAGTCCACGCAGAGTTACAACTCCACACTTCAACAACAACATGCTGACAAGTCCTAAAGAAAACTACTTTTAAAAAAGGCATAACCCAGATGTTCCCTCATTTGACCAACTCCATCTAAAGTTTGGATGTGCAGAAGGGCTTAGATATATCCAGAGTAAGCCACATGCAACATGTTACTTGATCAATTTTCTAAAATAAGGTATCAGGACAATGACAGTAAGATAAGGGAAGAAAACATGGAGGAATGAAGTCCTAATTACTATACATGCATATTTTTTTGACAGTAGGGGGAAACCTTTTACAGATAAGTTACAAACAAAGAAAAGGCAAATAAACAATTTTGTACAAGAAATTTAACACATTCTGTACAATGTCTTCACTTTGCTGTCATCATTTGTACAAACTCTGAAAAGAAAAAACATAACAGGTTCAGTCACATACACTCAGTCATAAAGTAGTAGTCTCTATTTCCCTTCTTTCCTTGAAATTACCACAAAGTATAGACGAAAGTTAGTTTACTGCCAAGGCTATCACTTCATAAACTGCAATTATTCAAGATTATTAATGTATAAGACTAATGTTTTATATAAGCTGTATTTTTTAAAAAGCAGCATTTGGGGGGGGGGTTTGTGGCTCAGCAGTAGAACCGCTCTCCTAGCATGTGTGAGGACCTGGGTTTGACAAAAAACAAAGGTATTCAACTACAACTTAAAAAAAAAAAAAAAAAAAAAAAAGGCAGCAATTTGGTTTTTTGATTTAGACTGGGTTACCAGTGAACAACACTTCAGAGCAATGAACCAGATTTAATCTTTAGAATTAATTTTATGCTGTTTTCTAGGTTGAGTAGTTACATCAAAATACAAGTGAGAAAATATAAGGCAAATGTTTGTGGAAAATTTTAAATTTCTGAAGGCCTTGCTTTCTACAATGGCCATCCTGAAGCTTAAAGATGCATCTGATTTTAAATTCAAGCATATGTAAACAGCTTTAGATTTAAAGTCAATTAGAGGGAATAAAGAAAAGGCAGTAAGAGAAATAAAGTTCCTTAATTTCACATAGGGAATTGAAAGCTTTTTGAATTGCCTCACACAATCCTTAATACAATAAATTGTACAGTGCTTCTCAAACTTTAATGTACTGTGAATCACATAATCATCCATAAATGCAAATTCTAAGTATGGATGCAAAACTGATCTTTCTAAAAAGTTTTTAAGTGACAGTGACATTGCCTAGACTGAATATAACATTTGGAATAGCAAAAAAAGGTTAGCAAATATTTACTATTTTAGCATCCTAATTTTTTGAGGGGAAAAAAATCTGTATTGCTAGTTTTGACCTGAGATAACCAACTTACTTTTAATTAAAAAAAAAAAAAAAAGCACAGCATGAGACCATGATTTACCTTCATAGTTTACTTGACCATCACCATCAATATCTGCTTCCCTGATCATTTCATCAACCTCTTCATCTGTTAACTTCTCTCCAAGGTTTGTCATCACATGGCGAAGTTCTGCTGCACTAATATAGCCATTGCCATCCTAGCGAAAAATTTAGCATAATGTATGAGTAAATTAGAATTATAATGGAAATTTAATTAAATTAAAATTAGAAATCCATACAAACTACAGAATCTACAAATAACTGAGCTGATCTATCACCTTTGGAATGTCACTAAGCAGGATGTCCTATGTTTAAAGCCACTATTCCACTGGATGCAGTGGTGCATGCCTATAATCCCAGTGGTTCGGGAAGCTGAGGCAAGAGAAGTTCAAAGCCAGCCTCAACAAAAGTGAGGCCTTAAGCAACTTGGTGAGAACCTGTCTCTAAATAAAATACAAAAGAGGGCTGGGGATGTGGCTCAGTGGTAGAGTGCTCCCAAGTTCAATCTCAGGTTACTAACACCCATCCCCCTCCACAAAAAACAATAGAACCACGATTCCCTCATTCCAAAGTCCCGTGATTGATTATCTTTTGTTCCAGAAGATCAATGAAATACATGTTATCAGGAAATCTAAGTTTATACAAAACAACTTTCCTTCTGTACTGGCAACCACTGAGCCACATCCTTAGTCCTTTTTATTTTCTATTTTGAGACATGGTTTTTCACTACAAGGCTGAGGCTGACCTCAAATTTGCTTTTCTCCTGCTTCAGCCTCCTATGTAGATGGGATTATAGGCATGGACTAGCACATTGGATTTAAAAAGCTCTTATTGACATTTAAATTATGTTGGTAAATCATCAGAAGCATGTCTTCAAAAACTTAGGTCTTGCATCTTCACTTCATCCTCAAATTAAAATTTGACTTTATCCAGTCCTTGAATACCCACCTTATCAAACACACGGAATGCTTCTCTAATTTCTTCTTCACTGTCTGTGTCTTTCATTTTTCTTGCCATCATTGTCAGAAATTCAGGGAAGTCAATTGTGCCATTACCTAAAATAGTTTGTTTAGTTAAAATATTAAGTAGAACATAAATACCTCTTCTTTGATCCTATTCCCTCCAAATTAAAAAGACTTACCATCAGCATCTACTTCATTAATCATGTCCTGTAACTCTGCTTCTGTGGGATTCTGCCCAAGAGACCTCATTACAGTTCCCAATTCCTTTGT